GAAATTTGATAAATCGAAAAATTCAGAATTCGAAATATAAGAATTCTTAAAAATTCTGAAATTTCTTTTTTTTTGAATTTGAATTTCAGATCTTTTTCATTTTCCAGAAAAAAAAGAAAAAAAAGTTCCTTTTGAGCCAGACAACAGGAATAGCAAAATGTTTTCCTTTTTTTATTTCTAAAATTAATTTTTTCCGTTTTTTGAAATTAAAATTAGATTTCCTGCACTATGGAATTCCAAAAACCCATAAGAGATTCTGAACTTTCTGGAAATAGATTCAAAAAAAGAATTCCGGATGTAAAAAATCTTTATACTTGTGAGAAATTCCTAGTACATGTTCTATTAAATAAATTATTGAGTAGAAAAATAAGAGAATACGCATTTCTCAACTCGTGAGAAACAATGTTTTTACGGGATTCGGAAGTGGAAAATAAGGAGAAAAAAGGAGGAATAAAGTACAAGACCTATGAGTAATGCCTGATCTTTGCAAGAGTTTTATTCAAGGGTGGGAAAAGAAATTCTAGAAAAAATTTTTTTTTATTTGGGAATTTTGAAATTCTAAAAAACATCTGACCTATTGTGTTCAACGTTCAGGAAATCAGAATATCGAAACCTCTGAATTTGAAAATTTTGGTAATTTTAAAAAATTCTGAAACCTGCAAGTCTCGACATCCCTTTTTCGGAATCGAAAAATCCCAAAATACCTGGAAATCCTGGGATTTCAAAGCTCAAAACTTCCAGATTTCAGAATCTCTTTGAAAACTTTCCTGAAGCAAATATAAAATTCTAAAAGAGTCTTCAAATGGTTTTCTAGTCTACAATTTTTTTTTCAAAAGGTTTAAAAAAGAATGCTTTCTGAAATATTTAGTAATTTTTGTCAGACACCTATTTTGAGCATGTTTTTTGTGTTAGCTTTTTTCACTTTCTTGAAATATTATATTTTTTAACATGGAAAATTTTTAAAAGTTGAATTCAACTTTAAAGGAGGCGAGACAGCAAACATTTCAGGGGCAGTTCGGGGGACGAAATCGCGCCGCGCTTATATAGACCATCGGTCGTCAGGCGCCTTCGCGCCCCTGTAGCTCAGCCGGTAGCGGTGCTGTAACCCTGAGCTGCCTGTCATGAGTTCAACCCCTCATGGGGGTTCTCTATGCAAAATATCAGGAAAACTTTTTTTTTGGTGCCTGGCCTCCTTTAAAAGTCTCTAGAAATCCCGAATTTCGTGTTTTTTTCACAATTTCGTAATTTTAGAAAAGAATGAGATTCCAAAATTCTGAATTGTTCGAAAATTAAAAATTTTTGGAAATCATAGAATTTAGAATTTATTGAAAATCAGTTTTAAAAAAGTTCCAATCTCCTTATCAAAATTTGAGAGAGAGAGAGAGAGAGAGAGAGAGAGAGAGAGAGAATATTCTAGAAGAAATAATTTCTGAAAATAATCTACATTTAATCTTATGTCAGGAATTTATATACTTTATTCCTCACCTATATTTTCCTATAATCAAGTAATTCTTTTAATGATGAAAAGGTATAAAAATATAAGATTAGGCGGAAAAAGAAAAATGAATAAAGGGGAGGGAGATGCGGAAATGAGAAGAATATAAGATTCCAAGAAGAAGAATAAGTGACAATGTGGAAGGATTCTGAAATTCTGAATTTTCAGAAAAATCGCAAGTTGCGGAGAACAAATGAAAGAAAGGAAGGAGTAGGATGAACGACTCAGAATACAATTTTTGAATTTTAAAATTCTAGAAAATTTTGCAAAAAACTGCTAAAGTCAGTGCACTGACAGTAAAATACAAAATGCGGTTAAATAGGCCACGCCCATTTTAGAAGTCCGGCCCTTTTTCCCACGAGGTCCTTCTAATTTGGTGAAGGAGATATTACGAAGGATTCATTAAAAAAAGATTAAACATAAGAGATCAAGAATAATGGGAAACATTTACTATTTTTGGAAAAACAGACACACAGACAGATTATTTGGATGATTCTGAAAATGAACAAGAATTCAAATTTTAGTAATTCAAAATTCAAAAACTTTGAATTTTAGGAAATCTTTCAATTTCCGGTAATTTTTGAAATTTTCGAATATTTTGAGATTCTGAATTTTTGGAATATCCTATTTTTGAAAATTCCAATTTTTTTAAATCCAAAACTTTTGGAAAACCCCCAAAACACCGAAATTTTTAAAGATTACTGAAAATCTGAAATTCTTGAAATGTCCGGAAAATGTGGGATTTTTAAAGAATTTTGTGAAACTTTTGGAATTCCAAATGTTCTGAAATTCACAATTTTTGGAAATTCAAAAATAAAAAATTTTAAAGTTTTCAGTATTTTTTGAATCTTTTTGGATTTGGGAAAATATTGAATTTTAGAAACTTCTGGCAATGAGTTTTAAAGAATTTCAGAAACCAAAATTTTAAAACAACTTGAGAAAATTTTTTAACTGTTTATTTATATAATTTTTTTCTGTTCACAGAAATAAGAACTGTCACATGACTTGATAAGAACGAGTTTTTTTTCATATTTTTTAATTTGATAACAAACAAAAAATGAGGAATAAAGTTTGTTTCTCCCAAATAAGGCTTCCATTTCGGTCGGTCGAAAATCGCCGACCGCCGACCGACCACCGACCCAGCCGACCGAATGGAAGCCTTACTCCCAAAATCTTAGTCATCCAATGAGAGATTTTTAATCTTGGAATCTGAAAATCTAAATTTTAAATTTGCAAGGATTTACGAATTTCAGAGTTACGAAACTTCAGAATCTCTAAATTTCAGAATTTCCGAATCTCAGATTCTTAGAATCTCAGAATCTCAGAATCTCAGAATCTCAGAATTTCAGAATCTCAGAATCTCAGAATCTCAGAATCTCAGAATCTCAGAATCTCAGAATCTCAGAATCTCAGAATCTCAGAATCTCAGAATCTCAGAATCTCAGATTCTCAGAATCTCAGAATCTCTGAATCTCAGAATCTCAGAAGCTCAAAATCTCAGAATTTCAGAATCTCAGAATCTCAGAATCTCAGAAGCTCAGAATCTCAGAATCTCAGAAGCTCAGAATCTCAGAATTTCAGAATCTCAGAATCTAAAAATTCAAAAACCTGGAATTCTGAATCTGAGAATCTTAGATATTCAATATTTCAGGACTTCAGAATCGAAAAAAATTCCAAAATTAAAAACATTTGGTTCACCAAACTTATCCCTCTCCATTTTTTTCTCTGCGTCTCTCAAAATACCCTAATATTTCGATTTTTCTTTAAAAAAGTTCATCAAAGTCATCTCTTAAATTTCCATAAATTTTTAATGTCCTCATATATCATTGGATACTTTTTTTGTTTTATAAAATAAATTCTTCTGAATTCAAAAAAAAGAGAAAAAAGTTTGGAATATTGTGTAGGCGGATATAGCTGGATCATTATTTATATGGAAAAATGGAAATTTATCTTTTTTTGAATAACTAATGATTTATGTAAATTAAGAAGAAGAAGAAGAAGAAGAAAAAAGGGGGAACATGAAGAAAATGATTGATATTTCCTCCTTTTTCTGGAAGTTTCTTAAAAAGTTATATGAGGGAGAAAGAGGAAATAAGGGACCTTTTTTGTTTATATTTATTTTTTTTTGGAAAAAAAAATCAAACAAACAAAAGACTAAAGAATGGGAAAGATGAAGTTTTGGATTTTTCTAAAGTTGAACATTTTTTGATTTTGGCTCAAATTCTGAGATTCTGAGATTTAGAAATTTAGATTTCCAAGATTTCGAATTTCCAGATTCTGAGATTCCGAGATTCTGAGATTCTGAATTTCGGAGATTATGAGATTCTGAGATTCTGAGATTATGAGACTCTGAGATTCTGAATTTCCGAGATTATGAGATTCTCAGATTTTGAGATTTTGAGATTCTGAGATTCTGAGATTCGGAAAGTTGGAATTTAGGAAAAACAATTTTTTGTGATTTTCTGAAAAAAATAATTTGAATGTGGTGGGATTCTAAATCTCGAGGTTTTGGAATTTTGAAACTTTCAAAAAATTCGGAATTTGGAAAATTTTGGATTCTCAACTTTTCAATTTTTTGGAAAATTTCTGATTTTTAGAATTTCTGAACTTTCAGAATTCCAAATTATGGATTTTCAGAATCTCTTTTTTTTTAAATTTAGCTGTTTAGAAAACTCCCGGAATTCATATTTTAGGATTTTTTGGCTTTTTTTTAAAGAGTCTTTAACTTTTGGGATTTTCTGAAAATATGGTGATTTTCAGATATTTTGGTGATTTTCTCGAAAAAAAATTGAATTGGATTTTTGAATTTTTCCAAAATTTTCGGATTTTGAGATTATATTTTCCAGTTTGAGACAAGAAAAAACAAATTGATTTTCTAAAATTTTGACTCCAAATTTCCAGACATAGCAAATTTTTTAAACTATAAATCATGGAGAAAAATCTCAGAATCTCATCTGAATTTTCAAAAAAAAATATCGTGAGTAAAAGGAAAAAAGGAAGCAGCTGAAGAAAAGAAGAAGAGGAAGAACAAGAAGATGAATATTCCAGAAGAAAATAAAAAAATTAATTGCCATGTTTTGTAAAAAAAGAGAGAATAGAGAAGACTAATTGGGACGACGTGGATTCTGAAATTCTGAATTTTCACAAAATTCGGAAGGGAGGAGTAGGATGAACGACTCAGAAAACACAATTTTTATGAATTTTTCGGAATTTTCGAAATTTCAAAATTTGGAAAATTCGAAATTTTCCTTTTTTTTCTTCTCTTTTTTTCCGTTTTTTCGCTCTTTTATCCTAGTTTTATTAATTAATTTCAATCATATTACCCTTTCCCTTTTCATCTCCCTCTTTTTTCAAATCTCGCGCGCATTTCCCCTAGCCGCGGCCTAGTTTTCCCCTTCGATGCCGTTTTCTCTTCCACCTATTTTTTGAACAATTCTCACTTTTTCATCGTTTTCAGCTGTTTTTCATTGATTTTCACTCAGTTTTTTTTGTATTTTTCAGAAAAATGGATGCGTCGGAGGCTTTACAAAAACATGCGCAGCGACCAGACGAGTACCCGCTTACAGAAGTCACCGTGGTAGGTTGCAAACGAAAAATTGCGATTTTCGGCTATTTGAGTCGATTCGAGCGAGTTTTAAAGTGGAAAAATGTGAACATTAACCTAGTTTTAGTAGAAATGTTTGAAAATTTAAGTTAAAAATGAGGAAAATCCGAAAAATTCTGAAAATGTCGAATTTTTCCGAAAAAAAAGATTTTTCCTTCTAAAAAATGAAATATGATGCATTTTAGACTCAAATAAAGTTGAAAAACACGAAATTATAAATCAAAATCGCTATAAAATCGAAATTTCCCTCCTAAAATCCGGAATTTTCCAGAACGGTGTCGACTACCTAGCCTTCGGCGACCACGCCTTCAAAAAAGACGCACTGACAAGTCTGGAAGTGTATCCACACAACGGACAAGAGTTCTATTCGCTCGAATCGCTCGTCATCTTTCTCAAGTACTCAAATGAGGGTCACGGATTCTATGTGAAAGAGGCGGCGGCGGCCAATGTCAGAGCAGTAACCAGAATCGATCGGTAAGGACCATGGAGATCGGAAATAGGTGGAAAAGTGACTGAAAATGAGCTAGAAGTTGTCAAAGTTCGCTAAAAATCGACTTTAAATGGCCCAGAATCGAGTATGCGAAAATTCTCTTACATGACGTAAAAATGGGTTTTCTGAGACTTTTTCATATTAAAAATTGCCGGAAAATCCGATTTTTTAGCCCTAGAATAAGTTTTCAAGCCGAATTTCCGTCTTAAAGTGATCTGAAAATTCTAGAAAGAACGTCACAAACTTCCTGAAAGGCGATGGATCTGAATTCTCCGGGAATCTATCAATGGAGAGTGGAATTTCGCTGAAACAACTGACACAAGAATTCGAGCCGCCAGAAGCCAAAAAGCCACGTCTAGATGTCGATGAGGCGACGACGACGGCGCCAGCTGCTGATCAGAATGCGCAACCGGAGAAAAAGAAGGAGGAAGTGGAGATTCGAGCGCTGAATAACGATTTGACGAAGGACCGAATCGCTGAAATGAGAAGGAAGCGACAGAAGAATTTGGAGAAGGGAATTGTTAATATTGAGTGAGTTTGGGGGGAAATTTTGAACGAAATAAGCCAAAATTCATGAATTTCGAGCTTTTAAAACTTTGGAATCGACAATTTTGAACCTGAAAATGGCAGATTTGGCTGAAAATTAATCTGGAAAATGGTAAATTTCGACCCTAAAAATCCCACATTTCATATCAAAAATAGTGAACTCTGGCTATGAAAATATATGGCTAGGGTTAAAAGTTAGGTAAAATAAGCCGAAATTCATAAAATTTAAGTTTTTTTGATTTGCAAAACGTCTAATATCGACTAATTTGAACCTTTGAAAGTGTTTTTGGGGTAAAATGAGCCAAAATTCATGAAAATGGAGCTTTTAGGATCGTAAAGCGTCTAGAAATCGACTATTTTAAACCTAAAAATGGCAGATTTGGTGTGAAAACAAAATAGCTTTTCAAATGATTTTAGGACGGAAAATTGGGTAAAATAAGCCTAAATTCATGAAATTGGAGCTTTTTTGACTTGCAAAACGTCCAAAATCGATTATTTTGAACCTGAAAATGGCAGATTTGGTCTCAAAATTAATCTTGACAAATTATAGATTTTGATCCTAAAAATGCCTCGTTCCAGCTCAAAAATAGTGAACTCTGGCTCTGAAAATACATGGCTAGGGTGGAAAGTTGGATAAAATGAGCCAAAATTCATGAAACTGGAGATTTTAAGTGTCCAATATTGTGAACACGATTTCAGCTCTCATAGTACTTTAAAACTCTAAATATCGGCGATTTTCCAATCAGAAATTTGCTAAAATGGCTGTAAATCAGCTGAAATCAGAATTTCAGGAATTCCAAAAAATGGAAAATCCGAAATTCCAAAAAGTTCTAGAAACTCAGGAAAATATCCAATTTTTCCAGCGAATCTCTGTCGACACTCACCTCAGCATCTCTTCCAAAAACGCGCATCCACCGTACCCGTGAGAATGTGATGTTGGGCGTTCGAGACCTTTCGAACGTTCTCGAAGTCATTCAATCCGCCCAACGACAATGGGATATCGATGAGAAGAAGGAGAAGGTGGCGGCGGTGCATTCGATTGCTGGTGGAAGAGATCAACAGCAGCAGAGATCCGGATATTCCAGATACGCTCAGGAAGCATTCGCTCATGTAGGTTTTTAGTGGAAAAAATGAAGAAAATCGGTTGAAAATTAGCTGAAATTGGTCTGAAACTGGCGAAAATCGATGGGAAATGATCTGAAAGTTGTCAGCAGAAATGTGTCTACTTTCGCTGAAAATCGCTCCAAAAGTAAGGATTTTTCACTGAAAAATGGTCCTGAAACATGGAGAATTCACGGAAAATCGCCTAAAAATGACCCAATTTCTAGGGGAATCCCCTCTGAAAATTCCTAATTTTACAGGAAAAAACCAAAGAAATCCAAACGGAAGGCTCGTTCATCGGAAGTAATCTCACCGCGCTCAAGCAGGGAAATTCGGCGCCAAGTGAGTTTTTAAAGCTTTTTCGGAGAGGAAAAAATCTGAAAAACGATCCAAAACGCCGCAGCAAGGCCTGAAGTTTTGTTTTTGCCCCATTTATAAATCAAAAATGTCGATTTCTAAGCTCTAAAAATTAAATTTTTGATGAAAAAACGCGCGCTGAGGGCGCTCCAGAATGTATGTTTTACTTCAAAATGACCCAAAGTGTTGATTTCAGACATAGAAATCGGGCTTTCAAAGCTTAAAATACCGCTTTCGAGTCCCTAAAAATGAATATTTAATGTAAAAACGCCAAAGGCGCCCCAGCCACCATTCGCCTACAAAAATACTGGAATTTCGTTTTTTCGCCACAAAATATCGATTTTCAGTTATGAAACCCTGCATTTCAAAGTTAAAAACACCAATTTCCCTTCCTAAAAAGCGTCAAATGCGCCCCAGCCTATTTTGAACGAGAAAATGCTTCAAAACGTCTGAAATTTTGTTTTAAAGTTGGTTGAAAACAGTCGAAATGGCCAACATGGACCCAAAACGTCGATTTTTCAGTTATAGAAACTCTAAAATAGTTTTTTGATGTGAAAAAAAAGCGCTGAAGGCGCCCCAGCCACCCTTCTGAAAAATTCCGACCAAGTTTTCAAAATTAAAAAATACCGATTTCCGGTCTGAAAAAGCGCCAAAGGCGCCCCAGCCACCCATCTCCCAACCCCCCCTCGTCTTATTCCAGACCCCACATCACCATCCGCATTCCGTCCACCGATCGCACCGGTCATCCCGAAACCAACGACGTCATCTACCCTTGCCACGTCATCAAGTGGAAAACGGGCGTCTCGATCGCCGATCATCATCGTTCCGTCGGCGATGAACACGATGGTCAATCTATACAACGTTCGCGATATCCTTCAGAATTTCCAATTCGTCTCCGTCGAACAGCGGCGTAAGGAGACAAACAAGAAGCCACAGGATCTGGCGATTCAGCGACAGAAGAATGGAACTACTTGTGAGTCTTGAAAATGTCAATTTGGGCCCAAAAATAGTGTCTTATAAGCCTAAAAATGACGATATTGGCTCAAAAAGTTTGAATTTAGCGCCGAAAAAACATCAAAAATGACCTAGAAATGGACCATTTTGAGCCAGAATTTTCGATTTTCAACCTAAAATTGTTAGAACCCTATTTCCAGACAAAAATGTCTGATTTTTAGATAACATCCGAAAGACATGTTTTTCTAAAACTTGGGCATGGAAATGTCATTTTTGGACCTAAAATAGCCGATTTTAACCCATAAATAGTCTCTTCTGGTCCTAAAAATGACGATTTTGGCTCAATATATTGTAAATTTCGTACAAAAATCACTCAAATTCGGCCCTGAAAACGGTCAATATCGACCTAGCAATGGACCATTTTGAAGCCAGAGTTTTTGATTTTTAACCTAAAATCTTTAGGCAAAAAACCCCTTTGTTTCATGTATGACCTACTCTATACCTAAAAACGACGATTTTTGGCTCGAAAATGCTCAAATTTAGCTCCGAATATGGTCAATTTTGACCTAGACATGGACCCTTTTGAAATTAAATTAGTTTGGGTTTGAAATAAACTATCTTGATCGAAAAATGGACGATTTTGGTTCAAAATTGCCAAATATCGTCCCAGAAATGGACCTAAAAATCCCAATTTCCAGACAACATCCGTGTCATCGACCAGGCTGAAAAGCTGGGATCCGACGACTGGGACCGGGTGATCGGTGTGTTCGTAATGGGTGTCGGATGGCAGTTCAAAGGATGGAAATGGAACGGAAATCCGACGGACATCTTCACCCATGTGCCGGCGTTCCATCTGTACTTTGACTCGAACAAACCGTGTCCACAGGTGAGCTTCTAATAGTAAGCCTGGATTGTATAATTTCGAGGAAAATGAGCAAGAAGCAGACGAAATCACCAAATTTTCGCCTTGGACAGTCACTGAAATCCTTGAAATTCTAAATTTTGTTCTCTTAAAAACGCAGATTTTGCTTTGAAATTTATGGGTTTTTGGCTTTGAAGTTAGCCTTTATTGATCTCAAAAATCATATTCGAATTCGTTGTTTTTCGCTCTGAAAATTACTAATCTCTACTCAAAAAATGGCCAATTTGGAGCTCCAAAATTGCATTGAACATGCCAAAAATATCCAATTTTCGAATATAAAACATCATTTTTAGACCAAAAAATTTGAAATTTTCGACTCTTAAAACCCCAAAAATTGCTCTGGAAATGCCTATTTATCGTTAAAAAATATCCAATTTTTGAGTATAAAAATCCCGAATTCCGCTTTTCAAAAGGCAGTTTTGAGTCAAAAAGAAGCCATTTTAACCCAGAAATGTGTTCTTTGGGCCTATAAATTCGGAATTTTTGACTTTTAAAATCCCTAAAATTGCTCTGAAAATGCCTATTTGTCGGTTAAAAATATCCAATTTTTGACATCGAAATCTCAAAATTTTTATCTGAAAAGCTGGTTTTTAAGCATAAAAAGGCTTAGTTGCATTCTAGAAATTCAAATTTAATCCCGAAATTTGAAGTTGTCGACTCTAAAAGTGTCAATTTAAAGCTCGAAAAAACCTCCAAAATTGCTCTAAAAATGCCAATTTTCGCAGGCGAACTTCTGATTTTCCATCCTGAAAATCCCGATTTTTTAAGTATAAAACTCCCGAAGTTGAGTCTGAATAAACTCGAAAGTTGATTTAAAACGCGCCAACTTTCCAATTTTTTTTTCGCCATGCCAATTTTCAAATAAAAATTTCCAGGTCATGCAATGGAACTGTCAAAAAATCCCGATATCGGCGACAAAGCGGCACATGGACAAGGCGAAATTCCAGGCGATATGGGAGCAAATCGAGCATTTCGTCCGCAAACACAAGCCGCACCTGAATCAGCGACTCGGACTTCATTAATTTAAATTTCCCGCCCATTTTTTTCGTTTTTTTTCCACTTTTATTGAACTGTTTTTATGTCAGTCCAGTCCCATTTGAGGTCTCTTTTTTGAATTTTTCTACTTTATTTCGTTTTAAAAACCTAAAATCTTCCAGAATTTCCAGAACTTTTTCGTCTCGAGACCTGTGGGAGACTGGCATGATAATGTAAAATACACGAAAATCACCCATTTTCAGAATCTCTCTCTCTCTCTCTCTTATTTTTTACACACCTCCCTCTTTTTTTATCTATTATAATTTTTTAAAAATTGTCTTCCTTTTTTTCCCGATTTTTCTCAAAAAATCAATTTTATACTGAAAAATGCAAATTCATTTTATTAAAATTAAAATTATTATTAATTGAAAATTAGGAATTACGAAAATCGAAAAAAATGGAATCATTTAAAATGAGAGATCGAAGAAAATTACATCTAGAATTTCAGAAATTCTAAAAAGTCGAGAATTTCAAAAAAAAATCGAAAATTCCAAAAAATCGAAAATCCCGAAAAATTCCAAAATTCGAAAAACTGAAAAATCAAAAATAAAGAAATTCAAAAAATTGAAAATTCCAAAAAAATTGAAAATTACAAAATTCGAAAAAACGAAAATCGAAAATTCCAAAAAATCGAAACATTCCAAGAATCCAAAATTCCGAAATTTTTTTTTTTAAATCGAAAATCTAGAAAATCGGAAGTCTCGAAAAACTGAAAAAGACCGAAAAAATCGGAAATTCCAAAAAATCGAAAAAAACGGAAAATTAACAAATCCAAAATCATAGTTATCACCCTCCATTCTCTCTCAAAATCCTCAAAATGTGTTTCTCTGCAATCTCCACTCTCTCCTCACTATTTCCTCTGATCTCCAATTCGTTGCATCCATCGACTTCAACGTTTCCCACCGTCAATCGAGCCCCGGTCCATTCGGAAATCTCTCGTATCACCGTCCCCTGTGGTCCAATGATTTTTCCGACGAATTTCTTCTGAATCGGAAATTTTCGAATGATTTTTCCGTATTTTTTTATCTTCAAGTCTTCAGTCAACTGCTCACAATGACCGCGAATCCCTCGGAGTCGATCTGGGGATCCTTCAAAGTGAATTGGAGTTGACACATGTTTGCCATGCTGATAGGCGGAGATTCCAAGACGATTCTGAACAAAAAAATGGTCTAAAAATGGCTGAAATTGACTGAAAACAGCTAAAAATGGTCAAAATCGACAAAAAATTGGATCTTTGACAGCCTGAAAAAGTACTTTATACTTGCCCATTTTTTCTGAAACTTTCAGAGAATATAAAACAAATCTAGAGCTTCATTTTTGTAGTTGACAACTTTTCTGAAAAATCGATATCTGAAGAGATAGAGACGCAGAGAGTTAGAGTGTCTCGCCGTCTGCGTCTCGAGCTGGAATCCGTCGTATCTTAGCTCCTAGTACAGCTAGAAAAGTGAATTTTGGGGAAAAATATGTATAATTTGGACTATTTTAAGTTTAAACCGCTAAATTTTAATATATTCAGCGAAAAAAATCAGTTTTGTAGCTATACTAGGAGCTGAGATATGGCGGTGACGCTAACTGTCTGCGTCTCTATCTCTTCAGGTACCGACTTTTCAAAAAAAAAAGTATCATCTACAAAAATGAAGTTCTATATTCGATTTATAATCTCTGAAATTTTTAGAAAACATGGACTAGTATACAGTGCTTTTTCAGGCACTCAAAGCTGACATCAATTTTCTACTACCGTAACCCCCACCTCTGAACTTTTAACTTTGAATCAATTTATCTCGGTTCTTGTGAAAGTTATCAAAACGTTGTTAACTGATAAAATTTTTATCATACTATTAAAAACATTTTATCAGTTAATCTCTTTTTGATATCTTTTACAGGAGCCGAGATAATTGAGCTCAAAGTTGACGATGTCCATAAATAGCTATTCAAAATGGAGACGACGCAGACAACGAGACACTCGTATTCTGCGTCTTTAACTCCTCAGGGAGTGATTCTTCAAAAAAAGATATCAATTACAAAATTGAAGCTCTAGATTTGTTGCATAATCTCTGAAATTTTTAGAAAAAATGGAAAAGTTTCAGGAAACTATTGAAACACTCAAGATTGAAATTAATATCATTTATAATTAATATCGTAACCCCCTTTTAACTTCGAGCTCATATATCTCGGTTCCTGTGAGAGATATCAAAAGGTGGTCAACTGATAAAATATTTATCATATTATCGTCAACATTTTATTAGTTGACCACTTTTTAATATCTTTTACAGTAACCGAGTTAATTAAGTTCAAAGTATACGTAGGTTGACGCGTCACTGAGCCGTGCGGTCGTCCGCACTTGCGAGCCCTATGATTGCAGCTCATTTATCTCGGCCTCTGTGAAAGATATCAAAAAGTGGTCAACTGCTAAAATATTTATCATTTTATCATCAATGTTTTATCAATTGACTAATTTTTGATATCTCTCATAGGAATGGGGATATATGTGAACAAAGTTAACAGAGTGTTTACACCAAATTAGTCGTTTGGGGCTTATTTTTACCTTTATTAGAAGGTTTTAACTCACCCCAAGCTCATAAAGCCTCCTTCCAAATCCTTCGACATTTCGAGTTTCAGCTGGGAACAAATACCAATAGTGATGGATGGATTTTGATCTCTCGTATTCCTTATCCATCTGTTTAAATATAAATTTATCAATGACATCATAAGCCTTTTCGAGGTCTTTTTCATCCTCATTTCCTTCAATGCATATCGAATAGTGCTCTTGGTATCCACGTTCTTGGCGCACTTCCAGTGAGCAATTGCACTTTCGTTCCAGCTTTTTCAGACGTTTCTCGACTGGAATAGTAGAGGGATTCAAGAGTTTTAAATGGATATTTGAAGCAATCGTTAACTTTAAGCCAATTTATCTAGCTTCCTAAAAAAGATATCAAAAAGTGATCAACTGATAAAATATTACTGATAATTTGATAAACATTTTATCAGTTAATACCTTCTTGATATCTTCAGTAGGAGCTGCGATATATGGACTCAAAGTGAATGACTTGGATGGCGCTCTATGTTGGTGAAAGATGAGGTTTATGGGACCTTGGTATTGAAGTCAATATTAGGAATATTGGGATGATTTGAATTTTTATCCCATCCATAGACTTCTAATTGATTAGTCAAAGTAATAAATCAATTTGGAGAATTTTTGTAATTTGAAGTCAAATTTTAAAAAATTATTAACTTTCAGCCTATATATCTCGCTTCCTGAAAAAGATACCAGAAAGTAATCAACTGATAAAATATTACTGATAATTTGATAAAATTTTTATCAGTTAACAACTTTTTTGATATCTTTGAGAAGAACCGAGATATATGAGCTTGAAGTTGATGGTGTGGGCGGCTTTCGATTTGTTAACGGTAATTAGGACAATTCTATCAATTTTAAGCCATTTTTAGTCAATTCCAAAGTTTTGAAAAACTCACATTTTTTCTTATAATTTTCCGAGATCACAAAGGATCCAGATCTAGCACGCTTGGCTCTTTGGTCAGCCAAAAAACGTCGATTTTGTGCTACTTCTTCCTTGGTCCAACTTGCTGGGTCTGCCTTGACTGAAAATGGAGATTTTTGGAGTTTTGATCAATCAGAAGTCTGAAAATTTTGAAATTCCTAAATTCCAAAAATTTCAAAAACTCGAAAATCTAGTAATTGAAATATTTCAAATTTCAAATCAAGAATCAAAATTTAAAGCTTAAAAATCCGAACTTTATGGATTTCGAATTTCTGGGTTTTCTTGGAATCCTTGAATGTTTTTAAATTTCAAAAAACTTACAAAATCCACCGCCTGGATAGGAAGCCAACACCTTTTCTTCAGTATCCATTGCAAAATACTCTTTTCTGTGTTTAGCCAAAAATGTGTCTATGGCAGCATATTTTTCGATTTGTTTCAATCTTTCTGAAACATTTATTTTTTGAAAATTAATCTTAAATTTTTCAGATTTTTTCAAAATCCCAAAAATTCAAAAACTTGAAATCTCAGATTCCTTCTTTCAAGGTTTTTGATATTATTTAAAATTTCAAAAATTCAAAAACTCGAGATTTAAAATTTTTTGAATTTTTTAAAATTTCGAAGTTACATTTTTAAATTTCAAACTTACCATATTCCGAATCCGAATCCGATCTTGAATATCGACGCTTCCGTTTTCTGGAAGATTCTGGACTTTTGCTTCTTGATGATCTCCGATGACGTCGACGTCTTCTGGGTTCTTCACGACGTGGAAAATCTTCAGAATCCAAAAGAATCTCTCCTTTGACATCGTCAGCAATCTCATCTGAAATTTTCTCAATAATTAATTTTTTAAAAATTTCAGATTCCAAAAAGTTACCATATTCTAATTCTGAAGATTGACGTTTCCGTTTTCTGGAAGATTCTGGACTTCTGCTTCTAGACGATTTCCGATGGCGTCGACGTCTTCTGGGTTCTGAATCTATATGATGACGTGGCATATCCTCTGAACCCGAGAGAATCTCTTGTTTGACATCCTGAGCAATCTTATCTGGCTCCTCTAACTTGATGGCATTTTCTATCATTTTCTGATGGATTCTGAATGAAATGGATTCTGATGGATTCTGAATAAACGGTTTTATTTTTTTAAAAATTGAAAATGCCAGAGAAAAATGTTGCATAAAGGCAAAGAGTGACCATGAGTATGTTGTATACACATTCGAAAATGAGATAAGAGAGAAGGAGAGACGCAGACAGATGAGAGTGAGGAAGTCTAGCGATATGTTCGACTGATGGGGTGAAGAGAGAGGGGGTGTCTGAAGAACAGGTGTACATTATGGGAAACAATCGTTTTTTATTTTACAGGAAATGAGTGGAAAATCAGACTGAAAGGTGGTGTACGGTGAAATTTTTTATTCCATCAAAATGTGCAGAAATGCATATAGATGGACATAAAAATAAAGAAAAAATCCAAAAAAAATCCTTCATCGAGAAAATTGCATCGAAAAATACGCTGAAAGTCCTTAGGGACGAGGTTTTTTCTAGTCCGCCCGGTGAGTAAAAACGCGCGAATTCAAACTTTTAAAGTTTTTCGCTCGTTTTCACTGTTTTTTCGGTTTTTTCAATAGTTTTCTAGGTTTTTGTCAATTTTTCTTCCAGATACATCGG